CACGTATTGGTCATTATCTGAGTTCACGTATATCGACGTGGAAACCCACGGATAAAGACTGAAGACACGGATGCTGACTTTCTTAGCTGTGATTATTCATACTGATATTCATACGATAAAGCTAAATAAATTGAACGATTATTGGAAAAAGCACCATCTGTTTAATATGACTTGCTTTTAAAATTATATGAGTAGGGATCGTTTTTTAATAATCATGCGCTGCACAGTGGGCTAGAATTCAATTCTAAGCGGCCTAAAATCTAATTTTTTTAAATTGATTAAAAATAGTCCCTATCAATACGGAATGAAGGATTTTTTTTTTTTAAAATTGATTTTCACATTTTATTCATTGAAATTTCATTTTTCTCACAATATTATAACTTATAAAATAACATTTTAATTTTAATGATTTATTATATTTTTGTCTATTATTTCATTATTAAATATATGTACAATTCTTGTTCTCTTAAATTTTAACATAGGTATACATTTTTATTTCATTTAATGTAGATAAGTGTTAATTTGAATTAGAATTCTTAGTTGTATCATTTTCCGATACCAGTTATATAAATGCACATAAAGTTCTGCTGTTTCTTTGGCGTAATTATCAAATATTTCAAAATTAATGTCAAGACCACTGGAAATCACCGTTAGTATTGTCGAAAATCTCTTAATTAAATTAACGTTTACTCCAGTAATTTTCGATACCATCTCAGGGTCTTTAAAAAATCTACGGGCAACATTTCCGGTATTTGATGTTCCCATACCCTGAACAACTCTATGGACTTTCAATCCCATTTCATTCCATAGTCGATTTTAAATTTCTTTTTTTCTCTCAGCAACTAATAATTTTTGATTTTGCGTTAGTCTACTAGTAGTTGGAGTTGATAACTTGTATGCTATACGTAAAATGCATTCTAGAAACTTAATCCACGCATGTAATGTAGATAAACCGAATTTTATGTTTTCCATATTTATATCTGTTGAAATACACAATTAATATTAGTATTCAAACCATGTAAACACACGTGCGTGTACAATGTCGTTTTCTAATAGATACTTATGCAGTTACGATATAGCTGTGCAACACCCTTACTATCGCTTTCTATATTATATACGGATACGGGATGGCCTCAATTGTTCATATAAATAGGGCTTTTGATGTATGTAATAATCACTTGCACAGACGCTGCCTTACCGAATGTGTGTATACAGTCACAATTTAATTGTCCAGTTGTATGTTATTATATATTATACTTATACATAATCATATTGTCGTGTTATTACTTATTATATTAATGCTAAAATCATTAGTCCGTCAAGCTTCACTTTCAACAATATCAAAGTTGCACAAGTTTTCAAGGTCGTTCATTGCTTTAGGATTACATTGACATAGAAAATCATGTTTCCTGAACAATTTGAAAATTGGCTATAATGCACTTGGGAATGGCACCCCTCATTTATTTTTACAATGTACCTAAAATGGGGTGAATAGGAACGGTTTTAACAGTATTTTTAAGATTGTGCGCTCAATTTCCATAGTATCCATTGTAACGTGACTAAATTATCCCCGTGGTACTAACCGAAGTCGCTATATGTTTATGGGTCGTATATATACAAATATGCCACAATATCGGTATAAAGTCCAGGGAGATAAGGCGAACCCAAGCCCGGCCGCACACACATACAACAAAAATAGAGAAACAAGTTTTATATCGTTTTCAATATTATATCGATGTACACCTGAAAGGCCGCCACCACTGCGTTGCTGCCGAAAAGTCGTCATTCGCAATATTAGTTCAAAAACATTGAAAATACATAGGCACAATTTTTTTTATAAGCATTTAAAGTTGAAATTTTGACAAAATGTATCAAAATCTCGAAAATTATCAATCATTGTAATTAATAAATTATAAAATGTTCAGTTTTTATAGCTAAGGATTGCAAATTTAAATCAAAGGTTCTCATAAACAGGTCATACTGTAACCAAAAAATCTAAAAAATATATGAACATAGTTATTTTTTACAGACATTTTAAATTCAAATTTGGACGAAATTACATATTAAAAAACCTAGAATAACTTTTTTAGTTATTTTGTTGTGATTGAATAATATTATTCATGGGTACTTGAAACTTCCAAAGTGTACTATTATATATCTATGATAGTATCACGGTTTTTGTTAATGTATAACGCGTTATAAGTACCTAATGGATATTGTGAAATGATTAATTTGGAATTTATTATAGGTACCTATTATAGGTCAATTTTTTGTTTAATATCATAGACATGTATATAATATGTCTTATACCTAGACTGACATACCGTCAGAATTGTTTTTCTTATACAATGATATTATATCGTTGAATTAAAATTTAATATCATCCATTATACAGTGACCCACTTGTAACCTACTGTACAGCAAAGCGACACCCACTTGCCCACCTTTTTTAATAATTAACTTGTTCAAATATTATATGTATAAGTTGAGGCCGATTTAAGATGTCTCTTGAGGTACTGTACTGTTGTGTGTGTGTGCGATACGTGGATGCTGGTGACGTGTGATGCAGTGACTGGTGATCCCAATAGACAAGGAGCCAGTGAGTCAACGTCATGTCTCGGATTCTATGGTAAATTTTTAAATTTTTTTGTTATATATATTACGATCCATACACTGAGCGTTCAGTAGTTTCACAAGACATACTCCCCACCCAGCAGTCAAATTACCATATTAATGTAATATATATAGTATATACATAAACTATTTCAGTTAGTTAATAGGTACGTGCTCATCAGCATCATGTTAAAAAAAAAAAAAATCCGATTAATATTAGGTATTAGTTTAAGAGTAACATAATATATTTCCGCTATGGTCAATCGCATTATTGATGTGTTGTTGTTGTTGTTTATATTAATGAACGCTGTTGTATTGTCCTCTCTTAGTCCAACATCCGCACCGGTGTGAATAGGTCTTGGCCGACGTTATTTAAAATAGTAGATTGTATTCATTTTAATATCAGTGGTCAGTCCAACTCTCTAATCCTGGTATAGAATAACAATTAAACACAGGGAATTTAAATAATCGCCCAGTGTTATATAATATCAATATATCTAGTTAGTAGGTATTTGTAAGAATCCATAGTATTATTTCAGTATCGGTGGGCTTAGTATAATTTCGCCGTCGGAGCGGATACATTTCCAACTCTAAAGTGTGTGAGAGAATGTATCATTATAATCCGCACAATATTAAAATCATTGTACTTCACTAAGATAGTTTTATTTATTAAGTGTTAAATTACTTAATTGACGCAATACCTCTCGAGTGCGTTCACCTCATTATCTATCAATATATCGTACATATATATATATCGTTGTCCCACTGGTCAATTATAAATTATAATACTCGGTACCTACTTCATTATAATCAACTGAAATTACCTTAAACATACAAGTTCTAAAATAAACATAAAAAACTAAAAAACCTTTACTTACGACGAAGCAGTCTAATTAGATGAAAAGCGCCGGCAAACGCGATACTCTCCCCCCGGAACGCTACGACCCCTCCCAAAAAGATAAAATCAATCTGCCCGCCTCCGATTTCGATATAACGATGTCCGAGGACGGGGACCAGCTTGGACAGTCGACGCTGTCTCAGGTCAATATGACCCAAGTTCTGGATGATCAGGATTACTTCCAACGGATGTTTGACCAAGTCAAGGCTCAAAATGAAGCGATCTGAAATCAAAGTGAAGAGTCAAACAGGAAATTTGATTTAATCCACGATTCCATCGAATGAACATGTAGTGCACTTAACGAAAAACTTGAACAGAACCGGATCGATTTAAGTACGGACTTAAATAGAACCAGTCTTGCTGAGATCAATGAAAGTTCGAGGGCAATCGTATAGAAATAAATGATAGGTTCGACCACCAACAAAGCATATTAAATAAGTTAGACTCAAAACTTGACAAGAATATTGAGGAATTACGTGCAGACAGAGGCGGTTGAGCGTACTGTTTTGGTGCACTGCACCACCAAAAATTTGGGTGGGTGGGTGCGTGGTCTTGGTTAAGTCGGTTAAGATTTAAGACTTAAGGTTCACACTAACACTAAGCGTTTCGTCGGTTCGCTTCCCGACGATTTTAAACGGTTCCGCAAATCAATCTAGTCTTGTCCCGATAACGCGTTTTATATTTAAACCATTATACTACGAGTTTCTGTTTAATTGCCAATCGGTTTCTTTTAGTCGACAACCGACTAAAGTGCAAAACACGGCATATTGTGTGATACTAACATCGATTATACATTCTATGTCAATGAAGTATTTTAAGCATTTTTATAATAATATAAAATCAAATCAACGGTATAATAACTATAAATTATAATTAGGTAAAATAATATTGTGTCCATCTAAGATTGCAAGATCATTCAATGATAATATATTTATATTATTTATAGAAGGCACGGACTAAAATGTAATATCTTAGTCCGTACTCCGTGGTATCGGTATGTGTTATTATAATATTATGTTCAGTTGAATATCAACATTTTAATTTATTTTGTGGATTCCGTGGGTTATTTTTACAGTTTTTCAAGAAGTCTTAAATTACACAAAAGTGGTTATAGGTTTATCTATTCTGTGTAGGTACCTTGCATTTTGCTATAAAACTTAAAACGATATTATTACTACTGTTTGCATCGTCGTAGGCACGTCGACGAAGACTGCGACGGCAACGACGATAACAACAATTATCATTTTCTATTTATATATTATTTTCTTTAGCATTTTACCATTTAATAATATCTGATAACCGCAAGTCACTAGTCACTAGTCAGTTTTTGTCGTTTTTGTCTTTTGACAGTTTTTGTGTATCTGTCTGCAGGTTCGTGTCGTTCTGCATCGTTGTATTGACACTACGAATATATATTATACTGTGACACTGTATCTATTATTTTTTTTCTCTTTTACACCCACAAATAGGTGATTTAAGTACCTCCTCAATGTCCTCAATTAATAATGTATGTGACTGTGGTAGGAAAAGAGGTTCTATGAACGAAAAAAATTGGTCTAGACACAATGAGTTCTGTAAAATTAAAAAAATTAAATTGAGCCACAACATCAATATAAAAGAGTTTTTTTGTTCTGTGAATTCAAAATGTGTCGTCTCAAGTGAGTACCTATTTTATAATATTACTAGCTGATCCCGTGCACTTCGTTTCCCGTTAAATGTACCAACTCTATATGACTCAAACATTGTTCAATGCGTTATTTAATATTCGGTATATGATGTTCTAGATTTATCTTAACTTTTCTGTTGCCCGGAATAAAAATTCTGAATTGCAGCAGTACAATATCAGATAGGTAATTTACCTGCGGTAGATCGCGGACCCCGTGCTGTTTGTACGTAAGTGTATGATTTAACTCAAAAAGTACCAAAGTTATACCAAGTTTGACGTTTTTACTTAATTCCACCTACCTATAAATCCTAACCTAACCTAACAGTACTAAATCCGATGAATAAAAAAACCAATTTAACGCTTTTTAAATTAGCGTATCTTCTTCCCATAGGTCATTCATTTATATATAAGATATATTTACAAAAATAATAATACAAATCAACAAACATGCCCGATTAACCAATAGCAACCAATATAATATAATACACCATAGAGTAAATAAGACAGCGGTATCGAGTTCAAATACCAGACATCAATAAATATTTTTTGCAGTTTTTCTAATTATTCGGTTGACTTTTTAAAAATTTTCTTTCGTAAAAACCTTCACCTGGCAATTACGAACATCTTAAAAAAAATTTGAGCAAAATCGGCCCAGCCGTTCTCAACTGATGCAATTTCGAATTTTTTGTCTCCATTTTTATATATATAGATAATATTTTACATAGTAATAGTTCAATACATAAAAATTATATTTTTTTAAAGACCAAGAAAAAATTACTACGCTTCCAGTGTTACTTGTTCATAAGGATAATGCTCAAAATGATGATTTTAATGCAATAGTTAATCAAAATCAAGGAAATTTTAATTCAAACAATCTTATTTCTTAACATAGGTATCATTCATAAATTCATATAAGAAATTTAATTAAATATTTTAAATAATTCTAAGACCAAGAAATCATTGAAACTGTGGTGGATGATGGAAATACAGTTATTGCAAATGATATTGCCCTTAATACCCTTCAAAGTAAAAAGGCCAATGAAGGTAATTTGAATTTAAAGTTATTTTTATATTTACACACATATTATAATAAATGTAATAACTAAATAATATGTAGTAATAGCAGACGGTACTAAAAAATGTATTTATTTCATTATTTGCCCTATTTTAGATTTAGAAATACTTGTTGTCAACTAGGTATTGTTGTATAATATTATGTTAATGTAGAATTTAAGTTAAATTAATTTTTATTATGTGAGTTGACATATTAATGATAATATTTTTTTATTTTTATTGATAATTATTGTTCTCATTTATTTTGATACAAATGATGAATTATTTAAAATAAAATGAACCATTATAAAGCTTAAAACTTAATACTTAGATACTCTTGATATTACATAATATTAAATATTATTTACATAACCTATGTAATGAATGTAATATGTGTGTTTTGTGTTAATAGTATTTATTTATTTATTTATAATTAGGTAGTGAAAGTAATACTGACATTGAAAGACAACAATCTATGAAAAATGGAACTCAAGCTAAATAATAACTAAATAATTATGATGACATCATACCATCTAAATCAATGGGTAAGATTTGTCAGTACATAAACTTGAATTATAATTACATTTTAAACTATAATTGTATAATTTATTGCATAATGATATAATTGATAAATGGTGTTTAACTATGTATTTATAAAATTGTTTATATTATCATAATTAATATTCTTGCTTACTTGTGCATTTTTGAATAAAACTAACAATGGTAATTTCAATAATTTTATAATGTTAAAAATTACTTTTTTTTTTAAAGATTCTAATCAACTATTTATGAAGACAGTAATTGATTTGGAAAAGTGTTATTCGGAAGAACCAAATAATTTTGTTCTTGACAATTCTTTGGCTACAACCAAGTTTCAAAATGATCCAGTATTTTATATAGGAAAAACAATATCGCCTGGTTTAAAACTAACATTATTAGAATTGGGTCCATGTCAGCCAAAAGATATTGATCTACCTGGAGGGAAATTCCCACACGATTCGTCTATACCTTCGCGTTCATTTTCAATATCATACTATACTAAATTAGTAAATGGAAAAACTGAGAATAGAACATAGCTTGCCTATTCACCATCTACTGATAAAGTATACTGTTGGACATGCAAACTTTTTGGTACACCGCGAGCACAAAAAGGTTTGTTTGCTAGTTCTGGTTGTAACTCATGGGGTCACCTATCTGGAATTCATGGGAGATTATATAAACATGAAACATGTAAAGATCATTTAGAGGCTGAATTAAATCGAGTAATGTATATTAATAACAACCGTATAGATTTACAACTAACAAAATCTTCTAATACACAAGTTGCTGCAAATAGAGAAGTTGTGAAAGTTCTCATGGACATAGTTGTATGCTTAGCCAAACACAACTCAGCTTTAAGAGGACATTTAGAATCAGCAAATGATAATATTCAAGGACAATTTCTTGATTGGGTTAACCTTTTTTCAAAATACCATCCAGTTTTACGTGCACACCTAGACCGTATACAATCATCATCTAAGAAAACGAGACTGTCTTTTATGTCTAAAGGGTCACAAAATGCAATGCTTGAATGTATAGCAGAAACCATTCGTAAGAAAATACTTAATGAAGTAAAGTTATCAGGTATGTATTCATTAATTTTAGATTCTACTACTGATGTATCAAAGCTAGATCAATTCGCTTTTGTATTACGTTATTGTACTACTGATGGTATCATCCATGAAAGATTAATGTGTGTTCACGAAACTGTGGATTCTACCGGTAATGGTATGTTTCAATTATTTAGTAAAATATGTGACAACCATGCGCTAAATTGGAAAAAAGAATTAGTCGGCCAAGCATACGATGGTGCTTCCAACATGCAAGGTGCAATAAAAGGTTTACGTACAATAATTCAGAATCATAATCCTAATGCTCTGCATGTATGGTGTTTTGCGCATTGCTTAAATTTAGCAGTATGTGATGCATGTGAAGCAACTGCTGAAGTTCAAGATTTCTTTGGAACAGTCAGAAGTTTAGTAAATTTTCTTAGTGCAAGAAAACGCACAGCCAAATATGTTGAGTTACAAAAATCTATCTACCCTAAAGAGCGTATTCGAAGGTTAAAATACTTTTCAAACACAAGATGGACTTACCATGATCGTTGTATTGATGTTATGTTAAAAACATATAAAGCAGTAATTGAAACATTAAAATTTATTATATCTGATGAGACTGATAAAAAAATCTGTGACATGGCCAAGGGGTTTTATAAAAACTTAAACAAATTTTCTTTTATAGTTACTGCTCATTTAATGAAAAAAATATTTTCAGCTACTACACCATTATCTGTGTATTTACAAGCTCCAGATATGGATTTCATTCAAGCAATGAAACTTGTTAAGGCGGCTCTTAGTGGCTATTATTTAAGGGGAACAATTTAGGCAATTTCTAATCTTGTCGTCGCCGCCCGTAATCTATGTGTTAGTCGTAAATGATTATTAGTGTGAAATTCGAAGAAATTCGAACTCTATAACAATAGATTTTATATCGCCCGGCTGCGGGCACACGGTTCAATAGCACACGTACGCGCATGCACAAGTCAACGTATTCACTCTCGAAAAATAGTTTTGTACACTCACAACAGTGAAAAATGCTAATAAGCTGGCGAAAAATACACATACTTCTAGTAGTCCAATTTCAATTTTGAAAAACTATTTGAATTTGTCAGCCTCTTTTCTATGATTTGTAGGAAACCGATTTTGAATATTTTAGATAATTTACGTATATTACGGTTCCAAATGACTGCTTGATTTCTCAAATTTAACTTGCACTTTTAAGTGCTAACAAGACAAAAAGATGAAAAAGTTTTTCCTACAGATCATAGAAAAGAGGCTAACGAATCCAAATAAGTATTCAAAATTGAAATTGGACTCCTAGAAGTATGTGTATTTTTCGCCAGCTTATTGGTCTAAATGCATGAAAAATCCAATCGTTTAGAGCCGCCTTAAGGCTACACGACAATTTTTAAATGATATGAGAATAGATGATAATTTATCCAACATATTTTCTGATTCTGAATCATTTTGCACAAGTTTAGACCTAGAAGAGAAAAATATGCCTATTAAACGTACTTCCATTAAAAAAAAAATGAGTGGGGAAAGAGCAAATGATGAGCGACTTCTGTCTTCAAAGGACCGCTATATTAGTGAGGTATATAATATGACTCTTGATAAGACTTTAATGAAGCTGGATGACAGGTATAACAAAGCTTAAAATGTTTTTAATGAAATTTCATTATTTTCTGCTGAACATTTACTTCTAAAATCTGCTACCACACTAAGCTCATTTAATTATATATGTAAATGGTCATCATCCACAAACATTGATCAGGATAGTTTGAGTACTGAGTATAATTTATTCTCAAACAACTTTAAGAATTTCATGAAAACATGTCCTGAAATCTCAGTAAATATTGATAACAATACAACAATTGATGAATTCAGCCAAGAGAATAATAGCAGCGATAATGATAGCTTGAGGTCCAATGATGAAGATACAAATGCATTAAAACTTTTAGATATTTTTAAAACCCTCAGTAATACTGGTATGTCAGCGGCGTTTCCAAATTTGTACTTGGCTTACAAAGGTATTTGTACTTTACCTCCAACGTCAGCAAGTGCTGAAAGGTGTTTTTCTAAATTAAAATTAATTAAAACTAATCTTCACTCAACCATGTCAGAATCCAGACTTGACCATTTAATGTTGATATCATGTAACGCTGATATTGATATACCAATAGATGAAGCTATTAATAGGCTCAAGGTCAAAATTGCTACAATCAGTGCTTTTATTTTCTTAAGTTTAATACTTTAATTTGTATTTATATCACATTATCCGTTAAGTTTGGGCTTGTTATTTGTATGTATAATAAATATATTGTATATTTAAATATTTAAAATTTAAAATTGTACCAATTCATCAAACTTCAAAATAAAAGCCTTCAATAATTATAAATATATATTTTTTAAGCTATACGAAAAAAATTATAAAAAAGAGTACCTAATTTTTATTTTTATTTGATTCATTTTTAAATACATTGTATATGTTTTATTGTCTTATTAACAAAACAGTAACTACAAAAATCATAACAGAATCATTGATAATATAAAAAGTGCAAACAACTCTACTGAAGTTACTAAAAAATTACGTAGGTATATGAAAAAAACTTTAAAAAAAAATTATTTGTTATTACTATGTATGTGTATGGTGGTGGGGAGGTGGGTGGGTGTCTATATATTGTCTTGCACCACTAAGTTTTACACATTCAAACCTCCTCTGCGTGCAGATCTAAGTTTCGCTAGTGTGACAATGTCAATCCGACCAACAGAAACTTCGAACTGTGTGTAAGCAATATACTGATCATCATATAGCGAATTATATACGTGAAACGAAGGAAGAACTGTCAAGCCTAACGGAAGGAGTATGTCTAATCGAGGGGCAGGCAGCACGTCTTGTTGCGGAGGAAAATGTAATCCAAACAAGTCGGGACTACTTCGAGTGTTCCACGCATATCAACGTTCGGTTCAGTGTTCATAAACGATAATGTGAATACATTTTCACGACCTGCACGTAGCAATGTATTTTTGTCGACGGTAATTCACAATACCTCCGTACCTATAACAACCACTAGTACAATGAACAATAATAGTAACAGCTCTTATCGTTTTGGTATACCAGGTACGATGACGTCACAAGAGTTTTCCAGGATGGCAGGATACCTCAGCCCTATAATTTTAACCAAAGTTTCGTGAGTCACACAGAAAAAATAAAGGATATCGTCCCGGAATTTAACGGTAATATTGATCCAATACACCCCGAAGAATTTCTTGAAAAACTGAACAATTATTTTCAAAACCAAGTGTTCACTGACCTAACAAAAATTAATGTCACATGCAGTAGACTCAGTGGTAGGGCTAAAAAGTGGTCTTACACCCTAGGTCCCATAGTCCTGTTTAATCATTTTGTTGAACGTTTTCGACGACATTTTTGGTGTATTTTTGGTCAATATAGTAACTCCAAACAGAGGGAAACGTTTTGATAAATATTGCAATGTGAAAAGAAAAATTTCAAATTATAAAAGAAAAAACCCAGAACCCGAAGCTATACCTGAATTAACTAATCTAAACGAAAAAGGTCAAATTATGTTTATATTATAGCACTATTAATTAATTTGATGGTAAATAAAACAATAACTTAAAACTACTAAATTATATACGTGTAATAGATTACGAAGATTCACTCAACTGGTTGAAAAATCAAGTTGAACCCGAAAGTGTCCTGCATAAACTATGGGTAGAAACAGCACCTTATAGGCTAACTGTTCAAATTAATGAAAATGTGATGGACATTTATCCATTATCCAGCCTTAAAAAAACCTACTGGTCATGTTCTCGTTAGTATAATATTATGTAACATTTTTATATAAAATTCTGAGATACTAATAGTTTAAAGTAACTTATAAAATAAATTATAATATAATCCTAGAGTGAATTGTATGCTTTCAGATTGATTTAGATTTTGCTCATATGCACCCCAATAAAGAAATGAACTTGTTTAGCAAATTTGAAACGTTTAAAGATAAATTGAAGATGTATCTAAATCAGAATTCTGTTAACATTGGTATCTCTGGTTCACCACTTCTAATTAAACTTAATGCACCAATAAACAATAGCAAGTGTATAACTTTCACATTATTAGGGCTTAGAAATTGAACATTATAAAACTTTACATTTTGAATTTTTTTTAGATTTGTAAATACAATAATTTCTGAGCCTATGCATAAACAACCACATATTTAAACATTCTTAATTTCTTAACAATTTATTTCAGATGATCATGATTTGGCTGCACTCAAACTAATACCTTTTCTATTTACACCAGTCAATATTGTTTTGAAAAACAAAAAAGTGATAAGACCATCTAAAATAGAACAATCCAATGCTTTCATCGAGAACATTCCTGTAAATATTTAAAATTCATTTTTGATGAAATACTCTATATTAATTTGTAACTATTTTAATATTTTGTAGAATGCCAATGAACTGAAGATCGTACATAAACAAAAAGTGGACAAAGCTTTAGCTTGTGGTTCTACTGTTCAACCGTATGTGATTATAGTGGGAGATGTTGATGGCCAAGATTCTACATACTATTATACAATAATCAACAACACTCAGTACCAGTTGGAAACAGCAGTTAAGGCCGTAGATTTATGTTTTAGATTATACCATGTCTTAAACCTAGAATACCCTCCTGAAGCTGAACAAATATGGCATTTTTTTGAGCAGTATTTTTTTGAAATACTAAACACTAAAAAAAAAAAAAAAATTTTATCTGTTCAAAGTTTGTGTAAGGATTTACAATTCTCACAACCTATCATTCTATAAACTCCATTGTATTTTAAAAAGCACACAATATGTTTAATTGTTTCTTATGCAATATAAAGTTTAATTGTATTAATTATTTAATCATTCATCTTGGTATTTATCATGATATAAATGAAATAAAGGAATTTGTCTGTAAAACAAATAATTGTCTTCACAGTTTCAGTACATTAAATTCTTTTAAAAACTCGCATTTTAACTCCCAATCATAATGATACCTGTTATTCTCATAATTCAGTTCCTAATGTTATTGGTCAAAATATTGATAATTGTAAATTAAGTACTAATCAATTAATTGTACCCTTAGATGCACCAAATATACAAGATTCAGATAATAATTCTGTATCTGATATTCCACTTTTAGAGTCCCCCAAAGATACATCAGAGTTATCAAAACAAGAGTTACAAAAAAATGCTCTGTACTTAACTAGTAAATGGTATAGCAATGTTTCAATTCCAAGAAATATTTTGCAAACATTAATTAATGATGTACAGCATTTTAATGATTCAATATTCTCTATAATAAAACAGAAAATTGATAGTGAACTCTCTAAATTAAATATTTCTTCTAAAACTACCTCAGAGCTTACAAATATATTTGATGTGCTTTCTAATTCATTTGATGAGGTTAAAACAGAATATTTCCGCTTACAATTATTAGAAAATATAGGTGTTTTAATAAGACCTTATCAGATTATAATTGGACAAAGGCTAAACTATAGACTTACTAATGGTAGAGTAATTTTAGAACCAAAAAATGTTAAAATGACTATGATATCCTTGAGATTAGTTTTGAAAAAACAATTTGAACATTCTAATTTTTTTAATGTCATATTTGAATATCTAAGACAAGTACAGGAAAACAATACTCCATGTATAATTAAAAGCTTTGTTCAATCTTCCCTATGGAAAGTTAAGTTAAATAACCAAAATAAAATTATTTTACCATATTTTCTTTATTACGATGATTTTGAAGTAAATAACCCGTTGGGGTCTCATGCTGGAACACAAAAACTTGGAGCTGTATACATTTCTCTTGCTTGTTTACCACCTGAACTAGCTTCATAACTAAATTATATTTATTTAGTCGCTCTTTTCAAAACTGATGATAAAAATTGTTTTGGGAATCGTGCTATATTTAAAGATCTTATTGCAGAGCTAAATTTTTTAGAGTCAAATGGGATTGAAGTGGTTGTCGATAACAAAACCTATAATATTTTTTTTAAATTAGGATTAATTCTTGGTGATAACTTAGGACTGCACTCTATTCTAGGATTTGTTGAGAGTTTTGTTGCAAATTATCATTGTCGATTCTGTAAAACTCATAAAAAAGAATGTCATCAACAATCTATACAAAATGATAACAGTTTTGAGACACTGTTAATTACGCAGCTGATGTTATGTATAATGATGTGTCCGTTACTGGTATTAAAGAACCATGTATCTGGAATGATGTAGGATCTTTTAATGTAACAACCAACTATAGTGTGGATATAATGCATGATATGGCAGAAGGGGTATGCAAATATGATGTAGGTCTTATACTGAAAGAAATGATTTATAATCTCAAGTATTTTTCTCTTGATACATTAAATAACAGAATAGAGTCCTTTAATTATGGACCAGTAGACATTAGAAGTAGGCCAACACTAATTACAGATACAAGTTTGAAACGAGAAGGGTACCTCAAAATGTCGGCCTCTGAAATGTTATGTCTTACAAAATACCTCGGGTTGATAATAGGAGATTTGGTGCCGGAAGAATCTGAACTTTGGAATTTATATATTCTATTAAAAAAAATCCTTGACATTATTTTTTGCAAATGGATACAAAATCAGGATGTAATTTTATTGCAATCAATTATTACTGAACACCATGAATTATATAAAACATTATTCCAAAATATTTTGCAACCTAAACACCACCATATGGTTCATTATCCGTTAATTATAAAAAACTCTGGTCCTCTATCCCTATTTTGGTCAATGCGCTTTGAAGCTAAACATAAAGAACTAAAGGAAACGGCACATTCAAATACATCACGAAAAAATATTACATGAACATTAGCAATTAAACAACAATTACAATTTGCATATAGACTTTTATTACCCGATCAAAGTATATATACAATCAAAGCAGATATAGGACCAGTTCTAACAATAACACTAGACACAATTGAATTATATACATCAAATACTTTATTTCATTCAACAAAGTTTAATATTTATAATAATAATATGGTTTTTATTTCATGGGTTATTGAAAAAGGCATGGGCGTAGCTAGGATTTCAATCAGGGGGGGGGGGGGCAGTGATGTAGCCAACTTTAAATCATTAAAACTCAATTTTTTTTAAAGTATTTATTTATAATATATTATTCATTAATCATTATTTTTAAATTATAACAATGACAATTGTCTAGAGTCTTCGCAAAATCTGCTGAGAATTTTCTGTTGCATCTCTTCCTTTTTTTCATCTAGCAGCTTTCTATGCACACTTAGTATGCATAGACCTGAAATAATTTACATTGTATATGATTAATATTAATATAATTATTAATTAGCATTGATATAAAAAAACTATTTTGATTTACCATTCAGACGGTTTTCCGTCATCGTTGAACGCAACCAAGTCTTTACCCTTCTTAACGTACTGAATGACCTCTCAATAGTGCTAGTTGTACATGGCTGAGCTAAAGAAATATGCAAGGCTTGTTTTATTTTAGGAAAGAAAATATCTGTTTCTTCTACTACTTCACTCATTTCCATGTCTGATAGTTTGCTTTTAGCCAGTTTTTTCTCCTTCCAGATGTTGTACCATAATTCTGCTTCACTTTCCAAGTCTTTAATTTGGTAATAATTGGCAAAATCATTTATTTTAAGTTTAAATTCTTTGGTGTTCATATCTAACATATTTGAAGGGTGTAATAATAAAAGTGAAAAAGCAGGTATGTTTTCATCAGAAAATCTCCGTTCCAATGAGGATATTAATGAATCCAAGTATGGAATTAGTAATGATCTCTTCCAGAATTCAGCCGAATTTAACGCTGGAGGATTCGAACGATGTTGTTGTTGTTTAACAATCCTAGGAAGATTAATTTCTGCTCCTATATTCTCAGCTGCTATGTTTGCAGCAGTTAATAATTCTTGAATTTCTGTGTCAGCGTGTTCGCGGTGATCTTTCACTATGACTACTATTTTTTTTATAAAATTTGAGCATTTCAGCAAATCCAGATTTTTTGATTGTAAAGCATTCACAACAGGCTCTAATAATTTAGAGTATTTTGCTATGAGGATAACACTCATTATAAAAATACTTTTATTTGCTACAGCATACAATTGAAAAGCAACTTTTCTTGTTGCAGTGTTCCCATCTTTTGACAATTTATCTAAAGCATGTACAATTATCTCAAAATTTTCTTTGAAAATTGAAATACTTCTATATTTTTGAGACCATCGTGTCTCACAGAATGCTGGTATGTTCGGGATACATTTTCTACGTAAAACAGATTCGCGAAAAAAGTTTATGATATCCTTTACCGTTGAAATTGTGTTACGTATTTCTGGAACACAATTTAAATCATTGACCACCAAGTTTAATTTATGACTTGCACAGTGAAAAAATAGAGCATGTGGATATTTTTCTCGTAAAATTGTTTGCACTCCATTGATTTTCCCTGCCATAGTTGCGCAACCATCATAGCCTTGTCCAACAAGCTTCGTTCCATCGAGACCTTCGTTTTGAATAAAATGATCTATTGCACTAGCTATGTTAACAGCATCCATGGCATGTAGTTCAATGAAGCCTAAAAATTCTTCTCTGATAGCCCTTTTTTCATCATCAAAAAATCTAATCCCAATAGACAATTGCTCTGTTCCTGAGATATCAGCTGTCTCGTCTGCCATTATACTGAAAGCTACAGCCTTTTTAACATCATTAATAATACAATCTTTGATTACTGTTCCACTTATATTGATGATTTCATTCTGAATTTGCGGAGATGTGTAGATGGCATTTCGCTTGCCCTTTTCGATATGGTTTTGGAGATACTGATCACCAGCTTCAATTCGCATTTGAATTAAGTCATAGAAAACTCCTACATCAAAAAATTATCAAAAATAAATAATTTAAATAATCCAATATTTTATAAATTTAATGATTTTATTCAATTACCTTCATTTTGACCTTTTCCTCTAAAGGGTAGATCATGGGTTCCGCAAAATAGTACATTTGAAATTATGGACGAAATAATTTTTCGATTTTGTTCTAGTACTTTTTGGTGTCCGGATACCATCATAATATTTATAGGTACTTCTTCCATAAAACTTTTAGCTGCTTCGGTTGCTCCTTGGTGCCAATTATTGGAAATATGGTTTCTACAGCCCTCGTGAATGTCTTTGTATCGTGTAAAAGGTTTGATGATAAATGAACCTAAAACACCTTGGACTTTTTTCGGTGGAAACAGAACACAGTACAAACAAAGAGCTCCTTTCAGTATTTTCGAATACGCAAGCCAAGGAGCATAGGCCTGTAACCAACTATGGTTAAATTTTCTCTTTGATCCAACAGCAATAGCATCCTCACTAAAGTTGTAATTTTCTGGTGGTGTCCAACAACGTTTCAAGATATCCATTTTTTGAGATGTTGTTAAATGATTAGACCGTCCCACCCATTGACCTATGTCATTTTCAAAACGTTCTTCATTTGTAAGCTTTTTAGAAGTTGAAGGATCTGCATTTCTGGTATTGCGATCATAAGAAGTGGAAGGTTCGTTGGAGGATTTGGGAATTTTATATATTCCTTCATGTTCATCACTTCCGCTACTACTTATTTCTGGAAATTTTCTCTTTTCTCGACCTTAAAAATTATGAAGACTTATGAAATAATGCATTAAAAATTTGTTTGTTGTTGATAATTTATTAATAATAAATTATAAACATAAAATATGCGCTATGACACAGAAAAAGTTGTTTCCTATGTATTGTGGAATTTTGGTAATTCTACTATAAATACCAAGGGAGTGGTTTTGTCCCGCGCAAAACAGTTTTTCGCTATATTGTATGCTTGTAAGACGAAGACAACGCATGCGGGTATAGCGTCCTCTTAATATATCATAGTTGCGGCAGGCGGCGGTCACAATACATAGTGTATATATTATATAAGTAAAAGACTTTGTACTTATTTATTTTACTTTGTAACTATTTATAATTCTAAAACAAGATATGTACTTACCACCAAAAAACTTTCTTATGTCCATCGTGTAAAATAATATTAAATGTAAACGTTATATATTATATTCGTTACTTATGCGAACACAGAACGGCACGTACTGCTGTCTGCTGCACTTGATTGTTGACACTATCGCTGTTGATATTAATGTATAAAGCACATAACGATTAGCGTTTAACTCATAATTCAAATAATCTTTAGATAGACTAATCGATAAAATATAAAACGATTACACGTGTAGATATCACTCGGTCCCACTAAACTATTTTTAGACTTCATGTACTTATATCATATTTAATATTTCAATTTTAACGTAAAACTTACACGTGTGATATAAGAAATACAATTTAGTTTGTAGTGCAGGGGGGGGGGGGGGCACTTGCCCACCCCTGCCCCATACTCGCTACGCCCATGGAAAAAGGTATTAAATATAGTTGTAATAATAATATGACTGTTGTGTTGAATTTATGCGAAGAAAATAATTATATGATGCCATGTTTTGGTCTAATTAAATCTATTTTTATGACAGAGTCGAATGTACCATTTTTAGTTTGTAAAAAATTTAAGTCATATTATTTTGATAAACATTATCAAGCATATAATGCAACCATCACATCAAATTTTGTATGTATTGCACTTAAAGATTTAGAAAATATGAACCCTACACATCATAATATTATATCTAACGGGTTAACATTTATTACATTGAAATTATAAAAATGATGTGTATTATAATCCTATATTTCTATTTTTAATTATTATTACTATGTATCATGTATGTGTGTATGTACCATATTATGTATTATCATGTATGGATAATGTTTAATTAATTGTTTCTTAATGTATAATTTATAAATTAAAAGAATTACGTTGTTTCATAGTTATTTTAATGTATGTACTTAATTATAATATTTATACAATGTACTAAACATTTCTGTTTTATAAAATAATTTGTGAATAAATACTTGTTATAAGTGAAACATTTTAATAATATACTAAATATACCTATAATTTATGATTTTTAATTGGATACCTACCTATAATGTCATTCTATTTTTAGTTATTTTGCTTATAAGTTATAACAAACTACCTATAGTATAAAAAAATATAGTATAGGTCCTGCTATACTATACTTTTTTTAAAGTAACTGTAACATTTTTTGATAAGCCAATCAACTATATTTTTGGTTCCTAGGTAGTTACTAAACTTATAAAAATAGGTATTTCAAATTAACAGATACAAACTAGTTGAATTAATTTGAAAATATAGTTAGGCCAACAATTTATAACATTGTAAAAGTAACATTTTAATAAGTTGGTATAACTACTTTGTAAAAATGTGTTAACTATAATTGTTGACTGCTCCAAACATGAAATATTGTTAAGCCAACTATTTATAACATTGTAAAAGTAACAATTTAATTGGTTATTTATGCTACTTGGAAACAATGTATTAACCATAATTGTTGGCTAATCCAACTAAAAAATATAGTTGAGTATAACAGTATAATATAGTTGGATTAATCAAATAGTATTGTTAAAAAATAGTATAATATTGTGTGGTTAAACCAACTAAAATAATTTAACTAAATACATTTAGTAAATTCGACAATAATTAATGTTGTCACATATGTAACTCTAAATTATTGTTGGTTCAAACATAAAAATTGTTAAACCAGCTATTTAGTTTTTTCCGTGTACATTAATTTTATGTATGCTAAATTTCAGACCACTGTGTGGCGACAGGAAAATCATCTCCTACATTAGCCAAAAACTCAATCCAGTCCAGGGAAGATACTCAGTAGTTGAACGTGAATGTCTAACCAATAGTTTGGGCGGTTGACAGTTTCAGGCCGTATCTTGAGCCGGTATTATTATGTTATTTACTGGCATTCCGATGGTTATAGCAAGTTCACTGAACTAATAGAAAACTAACGCGGTGAGCGTTAAAACTCGGTGCTTTACATCGATATATGAAATGAACCCGTTTGCAATACGAACAACTTTGTTGGGGCCTTCCACCTGGGTTAGGCTCTGACGATATACCGTTGACGTATTCTTCGCAGTGGCAATTATCAAAGCAGAACGAGAGGTTGGACTGTGTTTAGTTTTGGATAAGCGAGTATCCGATTTTTCCGACTCTTTGATATTTTCCAACACCTTGCATCGTTGCTGGACAAATCTAAACAAAACCTCAAAGGTGGGAATTGAATCTTGTGATACAGTACACTCAAACATATGACTTGATTTTTGGAATATGATTGAAAATCAAAACCCGTAAAACATTTTAAGCCGTTTGTACTATTGTTTTCGAAATACCGATTCGTGCCAACGTTTTCGAAAATTTGATTATAATGATTTCTGCTGTTATATTATTTACTGGAAATACTTCTAACCATTTTGTGATTTCATAAACTAAAATAAAAAAGTATTTATTTTGGGAAGGTCCAAGAAAATCACAATGCACTCTAGTGTGACACTATTAGCTCGTTGCCAGTTTTTCAAATTTTAAATTTTAGTTGTCACCTTAAGCATAATACTTTTCTAATAATCTACTTCCTGATACCTATTTATGATGAGGAGGGGGCAGATAGGTAGTATTATATCAATGTTAAAAAAAAATACTTCACTGGATTAATTCTCAGGCCTTGTAGAATTGTCTGATTTTGATAACTATTTTTTAATCTGAAAGAAGACTTCCTACAGGCAGCATCAATCTCAGATTTTTAAATTATTTCATATAATGGTATAACATAATTTATAAAAAAAACTGCTAAAAATTGTACTATTTTAAAGATATATTATGAAGTATGAGATTAAACTATTGAAAAACGGAGTTCGATGGGGCCTGTAGAATATTACCCTCTATTAATTAAAAAAATAAATTATCAAATATTGTTGATTCTACAGAACATGATCATTATTCCCTTAGGGCGTATTTTTGTGTACACAATAACTTGGCATTGGGCGCCTTAACCAATTTATGTTATGTTAGGTTAGGCCATAGATTAAATTATGAAACAATGTTTATGGTGAATAAGGCAATAACATTTACAAGAACTATATAATATTATACATATTATTGATAATTATAAGATTATCATTAAAATTTAAACATGATAACTAGTAGATATTATTATAGTTTTATCTAGAAAAAAAAATTTACACTCTATTCGGAGTTTGTTTCTGTCCCATACTTTGACAGTAACATTATTTTCATACTGAATCTCCTTTCCATGTTTCTCATTTTTTTTTCATGGTATTCATCGGAGTTTTCAAGGTCTAGTTTCATCTTACGATTTTCTTCCTCTAATAAATCTTTTTCGTTCGTTATCTGTTTTAATCGCACTTTAATACTCTGCAATTCTCTGTTAAAGCTATTTAATTGTCTTTTACAATTGTTATAACTTTTATTTTCCCTTTCCAAGTATTCATTTCTTTTTAGGAGTGCTTGAGATGAGTCATTCAGCGATTTTGTTTTATTTTCAATAATCGACTTACGTTTTTGTAAAAAATGATTATTTTCAGCAATATACTCCAATTTTTGTTGCAACGATTCAGACAAATCCAAAAATTGGTCTAATTTGTCTTCATATTCAACTTTTAATTCTTCAATTTCTTTATTGTACGTATCCATAAATATACGTGTATTATCATTATGTAGGGACCTAACTGATCGTAACTCTAGAATATGTTTTTTTTGAACAAAGCGAATCGCGTATTTCTGTTCTTCATCTATTTCGGCTAAATAATGAGCTGCAGTACATTTTATCACATTGGCCCTGTCATTTAAAAGTTTAACACTTTGGACTGCCAGACTTGTTTTTTCGTTTGTGTGTTGTGCACTTTGTTTTTTCAAATCATCACGGAGCGAATGATTCAGTAAAAATAAGTCATTGTTATGATTTTCCCACTTTAAATCTGTTGCTTTTGTGGCTAATTCATTTTCCAAACGTTTGACGTCCAAATTGTAGGTGTTTTGATAAGTAAACTCTTCTCGTTGCATACGTAATTGTTTTTCAAGACCCTGTATTAAAATTGCATCATCTATCGCTTTTTTTTCCATTTTAGTCATCTCTAATTGAAGTTTATTGACAGATTTCTGTGTGACTTTCATAGCTATATTTGCCTGATTTCGATCTACTTGTAACAATGATATTTCTTTGTCTTTTTGCTTAAGCATAGTAACACATTTTTTTGAGTACTCCAATAGCTTACTAGGGCTGAGTTCCGTTATATTAACTTCATCCAATTTCATTTTTAAATTTGAAACAAAGACGATTTTCAAAATGTTATAAGTTTTGTATATTAATAAAATAACTAAATAATTTTAATTATGAGAAGGTTACATAGTAACCATAAAAACAAATTAAAATATATTTTTTTTACGTTATTCTAATTTTTCAAATACTAGTATATTTAACACACATGGCCACTGTTGCGTATACGATATTTGAAAACAAACAACTTGCTCAGACACTTTAGAAGAAGAAAATAAAAAAAAAACAGTTATTAAAGCAAAGGATGCTATTAGCTGAGTCGATGTCAGAAAAGTATTTGGATAGTAAATATTCTGAAAAAATTACCGCTGCTGCATCTCTATTTAGCAGATTGCAGTTAAGAGGATCTCACACCCGTACATGTTGTCTCCGTCTTACAAATGTGTACAACTAGCAAAAACTGTTTTGCGTGGGACAACTTTTTTCTTTCTGTGTTTTTAGTAGTGGCTCCAAAATGTCTGAACATATAGGGTGGAAAATTATCCATGCAACATATTTTAGATGACATAAATACAATAAAAGTTATTTGCTTCTAAACATTTTGTTTTTTTAATTTGCTTTTAAAAAAATGATTGGATAATTCGATTCAAAAAAAAGCACACTGTTGCACAGATAAAGTGTTGTGAAAATTTGGTAGTTCTACAACAAATATGGTGATAGAAAAGTTCTCCCGCGCAAAATAGTTTTTGCTATGTTGTACATTTGTAAGACGGAGACAAGTGACAACACATGCGGGTGTGACATCCTCTTAAGAGAAACTATAAAAAAAAAAAAAAAATAAGGAGATTCACAATAGATGAGAAAACACTTAGCTTATCATTATTCAGACGTAGCCCAAAATGAGATTATGAATTAGGTATGCATTTTTAAAAAAGTGATCTTACACATTTTCAGCAATACATTATTCACGTATTATAATATAACTTTTATTTCTTTAATGTACGCCTATTTAGTACCTACTATAAATTAAAATAATACCTACCAGATCCCAGACACCAGAAGTCTTCATAGAACTATAAATTATAATATAATAATATGTACAAATACGTATCACTAACAATTAGTAATTCGTATTAGTAGGTAGGTTTGCCGTATGTATAGTATTTTATTATAAAATCATATTATGCGAGTATTGTTTTAAAATCCCTTCAAAATGCAAATCATTGTACCCAACATTTCAAGTTATAATTATTAAAAAAATTGAACATTCGTGTTTCATAAAAAAAATAGTCGTGTAGGTAATATAATATTATACGTCTATGTAAAAAACATTGTAACATTACCTAATTATTTATGTAAAATATTAAAATCCGAAAATCTGTTTTTCCCATCTCTCATGCAGTGTTCGATGTCAAAATATTTGTTCCACACTATATTTGTTCCAACTACTATTTCATCGTAGTTTTACTATTTGTTCCACAATACACTTGTTCCGATTACTATTTATTTATTCCGCAAAACATTATTCCGATGACTATTTGTTCTGCAAAATATTTGTCCCAATTACTATTTGTTCCACAAACTATATGTTCCACGTTTGGAACAAGTATTTTGTGGAACAAATAGTAAAATTATATTTTGTTTTTTTCAGTGGTAATATCATAGATACCCAGGTGTGATAAGAACACGGTTAAAGTCACGGTCTTAGAAGATAAGGTCGGACAACTATACATTATCAGCATTCCGCTTAGTGAGGCAAATCCATTTCCAAATTTTGCCGCTGTACAATTAAGCGCTACCCTGCAGACGTATTTTGAGGTTATGTCATTTTACTAGTTTAAAATAACCATGTACCAAAGCACGGTCTTAGAAGATGAGATATCTAAGATAAGATAAGATATCTTCTAAGGCCGTGTACCAAAGTATTATATTTGGTATATAGGATAGTCCAATAGTCCGCGAAAAATGAAAATTACTTCGAGATACATATTCAGGTATGAAGGATCTATTGACTACTACTTACCTACTTACCTAATGTTGTTGTTATTACTTTATGTAAAATACTTAAATACTGAGGTCTCAATAAATTGTAATTCGCGAATTCATATTCCGCCTTACAACAGTACAACCATGAACCATTGCTAAAATAGATCTGTCTATGGAAGTGTCTATACTATCTATGATATTCACAGTTTACATATTATTTTAAATTATTCAAATTCAATAGTTATTAAATTTTTTCCTAAGTGAATTATCAAAATATTCATCCAAAGAGTGTGTAACAAGTTTTGTATTTGAAAAATATTTATTTTTAATATAGGTATATTTTAAGTTATTGAGAATTTGGAAATTTTTTTTTTATTTCTATTATCTTTCTTTTTTTTCTTATTTTCTTGTTGTGAAAATTGCCTCATTCTCATTCTAATGTAATACATTACAGTAAATGAAATTACATCCCCCCCATGACTTGAACATGGGAAATTAATTGTATTTTCAGACATCAAATCTGTGATTATGAGTTCGTATACGTGCGTGGATGAAGAATGCTTAATAAAACTATTTTCAATTTTTTTGATGAAATCGAAAAAGAATATGTTTGGGTGTATCAATCGTCCCTTGGTTTTCATGTTAACTAATGCAGCACACATTTGTTCAGAATAAACTTGAGGTGTTACAAACGCTGACTTACAAGTATTGCAATCACCAATGTATTTCAACATTTGTTTGGATAGATATCCTATAAAAGAAATTAATTGATTTTTAATAGGTATTTAATAACATTTTATATAATAATTTATGGTAAATTCTTAATAAAATTTTGTTACCAGTTAAATAATATATTAGACAGTCTATCACTTCAGCCTTTGCATAATTGTGTTCAACAACTTCATCAAATTCCCAATCTTTCTCTTCAATTATTTTATTCATTTTTTCTTTTAAATTTGACTTTTGTGGATTATAAATTTCTTTCAAATCAGTAATTGAAATAACTGGAGTCAACGGAGCATCATCATTCAC